AGAAAAAGCGTGACACAGCAGGGGGAGGGGATAGGGAGAGAGAATCCCAAGCGGACTCCCCGCCAAGTGGGGAGCTCAACACAAGGGCTCAATCTCATGAACCCTAAATCATGACCTGAGCTGAAACCAAGAATCGGGCACTCAACCAACTGCACCACCCAGGTGCCACTCAACTACATGAGTGCTTTAACTTAAGTTAACCTTCAGTATGCAACAGAACCACTTTAGTGTACTTCTATTTTATTATAACAGAATATTAAAACAATGTTCACCTGAGGGTTGAGATTTAATAAAATTAATAAATGTTATTCAAGAACATTCTTATGTGAAACTTCCTTTTTTTTTTTTTTTACTGAGACGTGTGGTAATACAGAATACAATGACTGATTCTACTTGTATGTTTTAGAGCCACTGCCTTGATCTGTATTAGGTGCCAGCAGTTTTACCCACCACTGGTTTTGAACCATCAGTACAAATGTCAACAAACTATAAAAGGCATGTGTTATCTTACTATTGTTATGAAAAGAGTTATGATTTCATGGAAGCCCCTAAAAGGGCCTCTGGGTCCTTACCCCTTCCCAAGGATCATGGATCACACTTTTGAGGGCTGCTGCTGCAGCTACTAAGTTTTCTACGTGGCTCAGTTATCATTATGAGTATCCATTATTGGATTCAACAGCTTTTCAGTTAGGATGCTCCATGTCAGGAATGCTATGGGCACCCTCACTCTAAACCATCTCATTCATTTCATCCCACTCTGGAATTAGAAATGGTCTAATGCTGGAGCGCCTGGGTGGCTCAGTCAGTTAAGCATCTGACTGGATTTTGGCTCAGGTCATAATCTCAGGGTTATGAGACCAAGCCCCTCGTCAGGCTCCATGCTGGGCATGGAGCCTCCATAAAATTCTCTCTCTCTCTCCTTAAAAAAATAAAAAGAAAGGTCTAATGCTGAAACTGTTTCATCGTCCCATCTCCAAGAAATGTAGAAAACTTTTGGAGCTTACACTTCAGCCTCCCAGAAACCTGTTTTTAGTCTAAGACTAGAATTATAGAAAGTTATATTTAAATGCTATTGAATACCAAAACTCTTATCCCTAACTTTCTTCTAAACAAAAGAAGGGTGGTACGATAAAGAGGCAGCAGTACTTACCACAAGACTGTGTTATAAGAAGCAGGTATTATAAGAACAAAGAAAAATGTCCACTTTGTGAATTAAAACATCTCTACACCAAAGGTTCCCTTTCTATCCACAGAACTGCACTTAACATTCTTTTTATTTATTCTATATTAGCAGCATAGTTTGAGGATACAAACCATGTCCTGGTGTAAAACTCTAGTCAGTAAGTATAACTTTTCCTTAAATTGTCATGTTACATAAATCTTCTAACAACACACACTCCAAACTGACCATTTTCAATCACATAAAGCAGTCAAAAAAACTTCTTTTTTGGCTTTAGCACTATTTAGTATACCCAAATTTCTCAAAAGGGATGGTCATTCAATTACACATTTTGACTTTTCAAATGAGTCCCTCTGAGGGCACCTGGGTGGCTCAGCTGGTTAAGCATCTGACTCTTAATTTCAGCTCAGATCATGCTCTCAGGGTCATGAGACTGAGCCCCACATTGGGCTCAAGCTGGATGTGGAGCTTGCTTAAGCGTCTCCCTCTCCTCCACTCGCACACATGCTCTCTCTCAAATAAATAAACAAATATCAGTCCCTCAAAATGTTCATAACCAGCCAAGTTTTCGTGAAATTGCATTACCAATAAGTATTCAAAAACAGAAAAGTGAGACAAATTGTTCCCCCCCAAATTACTAATCAACAAAATTTCGTCAATCTGAAAAGTAATGAAGAAACTAGGTAAGAGAACTGGTGCCACCCTTAACATCAAAAAATAGTGAAGCAACGTCCACAACAGTCTTAGAAAAAGAACATGGAGCTTAAAAGTTTTATAGCAAACCAACACAGGCTTATGGTATAGAGGCAAGTGATGAATAGCCTCAAGCAGAGGATTATAGCACCTGTGCGTGCTTCCTGGAAGTTAAGCCCACCACAGGAAAAATTAAAATAAGGAAATGAGAACTATAAAAGCACCACAGTAAAGAGACTAGTGATGATTACTAAATCATCCACCTACAGTAACTAGCAAAAATGAGGCTGTGAAAATTGGAAAGAAAAAGTATATAAGCAGCACAACATTGACTATTCTAAAGGAGATGTTTTAAGTTGAAGGAAAAAAAGATACAAAATTTATTTTTCCTTCACTTTAGAAGAACTTCTAGGAATTAACATCCCTAACAGTGAGGAAACATTTTACAGACATTCATAAATTCCTTCACTTTCCCTTTGTTTCGTCCCTTTAAATTCATAAATAAATGATTTAACAAAAAAGATACACAATTGTACGATATAATACCATCTTCTAGAACTGTTTCTATCTAGGTATCTACCCCTGCTATCTGGGTATGTGCACAAATGTCTTAAGTAGTATTACTTAAAATTAAGCAATGGTTTTTTCTGATGGTGGGACTTGGGACAATTTATTTATTTATTTGTTTGTTTATTTCCTCCCACCCTCCCTCCGATTTAGATTGATTGATTTCCTCCCTCCAGTTTATCTTTCCTTCCCCCCCACCCCAGCTTTATTGAGATATAACTGATCTATAACACTGTGTAAGGTTAAAGTGTACAACAGAAATACTAGATATATGTATATACTGTGAAATGATTGCTGAAATAAGTTTAGGTAACACATCCAACACCTCACACAGTTACAATTTTTTTTCTTTTTGGTGGGGTAGTGAGAATTTTTAAGATCTACTCTCTTTAGCAGCTTGCAAATATACAATACAGTATTGTTAACTACAGTTACCATGCTGTACATTAAGTCCCCCAAACTTACTCATCTTCTAACTGGAGATCATATTCTCCCATTTTCCAAGGGTGATTTTATTTCCTTTGCCATGTCTTTTTCTTTATTGTTTCATTTGTTTATCATTTATTTTTTTAAACATCTATTTATTTATTTAATAGAGTGTGTGTGTACACATGCATGTATGCGAGAAGTAGGGGAGAGGGGAATGGGCAGAGGGAGAGAGAAGCTCAAATAGACTCTGTGATAAGCGCTGAGCCCAAGGCAGGGCTCGATCCCACTACCCTAAGACCACGACCTGAGCCAAAACCAATAGTCAGATGCTCAACCGACTGTGCCGCCCAGATGCCCTTCATTTGTTCATCATTTTAATAAAAATAAAGTCATTATTCAAAATAATAAAATAAAACCTCTCCCTATTGGGGGAAAAATACAAGTTTAAACATTTGCTATGTTATCATTAATTCAAGACATTACTTCCTAATATTTCTCTAGTAACAATGTGAGAAAATAATTTTTGTTGCAATTAGAATATTGTATTTATCTCTTTTTAGACTATTCATATATTAAGCAGTCCTGTCTTACCTTCTGAGCATACAAAACACCAGCTAACATTAACGTGCTCATGATTTCGGCAGCCCCGCCTAGGTGTAAAGTGATTAGGGCAGATGATACTATTAGATGCAAGAATCTTGGACCCAGCAGCCAGGCAAAAGTCATTGGCATGGTATGCCACAGGGCAGCGGACACAGCGCATCAGGCGACCTAAAATTACAAGAAGCAGGAAAACCAGTAGTAAAAGAAAAACAAAGAAAACATAAAAGCAACATGAGTTTTGAAATCTCTTTGTCAGCACTGAGAAAATGTCACTAACAGAAGGAAGCACTACTAGGACAAGGGATCACAAAACACACAATTCCCTATGAAAAGCTCAGATGGGAGCTATGTGATAAGCTGCCATAAAGGAGTCAGATCCCACAACTGTTAAGTAAGCCTGCCTCACCAAGGAAAGCCCTATTCAATCCACTGCCCTGACTTCTAGGAAACCTGGCATCAGCCTCAAACTAAATAGGTGGGATGTGCACAATCAGAATAAAAAGGCAGCTAGGAGAAAGACTAATGCTTGCTTTCACTGCCTGGTACTGAGTGATTCTTAAAGCCTGAATTTTTAGGTGAATGAAACTTTTCACCCCTTCTAGATAAAATATGTCCTCTAATATACATCACCTACTAAAAACCATTACCCAAACCACCTAAATGCAATCTACAATAGCAACTGAAAAGGGGAAGGTAAGCTGATGGTTAAACTATAATTTTGATCAAGCAAGTGAAATTACTGTACTTAAGACTGATGAGATCTATAGGCTCAGGAAATCATATTACAAAAGGTACTGCCAGTCTAATTAGAAGAAAAGGCAAAACACTGGTAAATGTTTCCTGCTCAATCCCTTATGGGAGAAGTAGGGACTCCCTGGGCATACTTTTGGAAACCTCAGCTCTAAACCTAACTATAAAGCAGGAAAGAGGTGTCAGGATAAAAGTTTCCAATTTAAAAAACAAATCAACACAAAACAAAAACCTCAATTCTGCCCTAAATTCATACCTGAATAATATCATATCTGACAAGCACAGAGATAAAGGGTTCACAGGAAAAGAATGCATTTTGGTCTAATGGAGTAGGGAGAGGAAGACCTACAGCAAAACACTTTCTCAAACTAAATATCACGTGAAATCCAAATATTTGAAGCCACCACATAACAATAGGGCTCCATAGAATACAATGTGGCAACTGTTGGACTAGTCCATTATTTTCTTCTCTCTCACATAAAATGCTGGTACTCTGACAAAAGCTAGAGGCCATGAAGAGACATGCCACATCGCATCTGGAAATACACACTACCAATGACACCAAGGTTCTATAATTAGACCAGTCCATGTGAGAAACCCGTACCTTTAGATGCAGAAACACTGGCTGGATTAGCAGCATGGCAGGTTATACAGATGTGGAGGGAGCACCGGAAGCCCTTGTTCTGCATGACAGTGGGTGGATACTTCTGGACACATTCTTCATGGTAAAACTTTCCACACAAGGGCAAAAGGCACCTTTTAACATCTTCTCCACTCTGCTTACAAACAAAACAGGTATGGATTCCTGGTAAACAAAAGGAAGGTAATAAATTAACACCAATTCAAGAAATCATCCAATGCTAAACCATTAGATGAAAAGTTTGTTAAGTACACAATTCTGTACCAAGTTCCAATATGGGGGGGGGGGGCCCTCCGTACCACCAAGCAATTCTCCAACACCAGCTGGGTGTCTTACAATTCAACTCAATTCTGAAACTATATACATGGAGGTAACATCATATCCCACAGGTTAAGGACTGAATTCTACAAGACGGCCCTTGCCCCCAACTTCAGACGCCAGTCTCAAGTCCAGGTTGTCACCTATACTTCTGACTGGCTATAAATCAGAGGTTCCTACAACCTCCACTTCCTTGGGTTTAATTTGCTATAATGGCTCATAGAACTCAGAGAAACATTTTATTTACTGAATCACCAGTTTATCATGAAAAGATAATACTCATGAATAGCTACATGGAAGAGATGCATAGGGCAAGGTATGAGGAAAGGGTGTAGAGCTTCCATGCCCTCTGCAAGAGCACCACTTTATTCTGAATCTCCACATACCCACCAATACAGAAGCTTCCGAAACCCATCTTTTTGGGTTTTGATGGAGACTTCATTGCAAAGGCTGATTAAACCACTGGCCACTGGGGATTGACCTAACCTCCAGCCCCCTCCCCTCCCTAGAGATTAGGGGGATAGGAGTGAGAGTTCTAGCGCTCTAATCATAAGGTTGGTTCTACTGGCAATCAAGCCCCCATCCTCAGGTGTGTCTTTTATTAACATAATAAAACACACACAAAGCACATCTTTATCACTCTCACCACTTAGGAGAGGCCAAGATTTTGGGAGCTCTGTGCCACAAGCTAAAGACCAAAATATGTATGTTTTATTATAAATCACAATATCACAGTAAAGAACTTTGTAATAGACTGATCAGGCTGATAACATGAACCTACTGAACAATCTTAAGATCATTAAGTGAGAAACTCTTGATAATATACGCTTGCTGATGTGATGCAATAGAAAGTACACATTACCTACAAAGTATTCCTGCCAAAAGAAAACTGACCTGAAATTAATCCAGCCTCTAGATCTAACTACACGTTTCCAGGAAATATGGAAGATAGAGGAACAAGTTAAGGACACCTGAAAGATGCAATCAACCAAATATGCAATGCAGAAATTTTAGCCGGACAAATGTTAAGACCGTTGTCTTAACAAATAAACGACATTAAAAAACAGGATGAGGGTGTACTGTTGTAGATTAAAAGAAACTTAAGAGACATATCAAAAAATACAATAAAGGCAGTTTTTTCTGGATCTTGATTAAAATACTGTAAGAAGACATCTTTGAGACATAAGGGAAAATGTGAAAATGGGACTGGGCAGTAGGTGACACACAGAAGTTACTGTATAATTTTTCTACATATTATATATTTTTTTAAGTTGTGCTAGACCTTTTGAAATATATGGGTAAAGCACTGGGTATTATATAAGACTGATGAATCACAGACCTGTACCCCTGAAACAAATAAAAAATAAAAAGAAATATATGGGTAAACACAGGCAGAAAACTGGTAACTACTGAAGCTAAATGATGAATACATGGGGTTGTTTTATACTGTTCTACTTTTGTAAATGTCTGAAGATTTCTGTAATACAAAGTTTAAGAAAAGGGAAATTAAAAAAAAGAAAAAAAAGAAACTACCTCTCTCTGAGAAGCAATACAAAGTAAGGGAAAGAGCCCAAGCTTGAGAGACAGACCTGAACATGAATCTTGCCCCCGACACTTGCTGGAAACAGGAATTCATTAAAATAACCCACCACACCTACGAACAGTAAGATTACCCAGCTAATAATGATTTTAAGAAAAAATTTTAATTATGCATTTGGAAATAAGCAAACTATTTACTGCCTGATGCCAATATTAAACTGGAATAACCTAAATTATGGTGTGGTCACTCCACATTAGGAAAATAGGGTGAGCCACAAGAAAAAAGAAATGACTCCTTTATTCTTACTCTATTCATCTTGACTAAAATTAGGGTAAAATTTCCTACCCTCAAAAATAATAACTC